CAAAACAGATGTAACATTTCATGTGATTGTGCACCACTGGAACAAAACCAAAATGTGACCGTAACTTTTTAGGCTTCTGTGTGTTTGTAAGATGCTCTAATAATCTGAGTAGCAATGCGTAATTTCAATTACTGTATAAAGTTTATGTTTTCTAAGTGTGCAGAATCTGAGCTCAATGGTTTTTACTTACCTGTGTTGGCTATAATATTGACTATTTTGTAAGTTAAGTTTCTGACCTATAGTGCATTTGTTTGAGTCGTTTATGTACTACTGAACTGTACCAGTTGCACATGCCTGAACTGTAGTAATGTTAGCTTGTTCTAAAGCTATCCATTGTGTCATATTCACTCGAAAAATTAAAAAGACGCTCAACATACTGTTTTGATAACTTCTAAAGAATTCTTATTTTGTGTTGACAAACTAGATAATCTGCTGTGTTAAATTTCTAGTCATTTCTCCAGCTGTAACATGAAGTAGAATCTGTCTTCTATTCAAACAGTCAGACAGCTAACATCCAGGTTGTTCCTCGGGGGAACAGAGGTTAAGAAAGATGGTAAGCCTGGGCAACAAAGTGAGACCCCATCGCTACAAAAACTCAAAAATATCTGCTAGGTGTGGTGGTGCACATCTGTGGTCCTACCTATATGGGAGGCTTAGGCAGGAGGATCACGTGAGCCCAGGAGGTCGAGGCTGTAGTGAGCCATGATGTGCCATTGCTCTCCAGCCTGGGCAACAGGCTTCAAGAAAAAGAAAGAGGATGAAGAAAAACAAAAGAATAAAGGAACGTCAGTATATTTTTCTCAATGCCCCAGGTTATCTTGGATGACTATTGTGTATCTTAAGGGTTCTGCAGAGACCATCTTAATGGAGAATACTGCATTTTTTTGTTGGTTGTTCTTTGTTTTGCTTTTGCTTTTTGTTTTTTTGAGCCAGACTCTCGCTCTGTTGCTCAGGTTGGAGTGCAGTGGTGCAATCTCAGCTCACTGCTACCTCCGCCTCCTGGGTTCAAGTGATTCTCGTACCTCAACCTCCTGAGTAGCTGGGATTATAGACGTGCCCCACTACACCCATCTAATTTGTATTTGTAGTAGAGATGAGGTTTTGCCATGTTGGCCAGGCTGCTCTGGAGATCCTGGCCTCAAGTGGTCTGCCCACCTTGGCCTCCCAAAGTGCTGGGATTAGAGGTGTGAGCCACTGTGCCTGGTCAATAATACTGCATTTTTCTATCTCCTTAATTGTCTCATATTTGGATATTTTAATTTATTTTAAGCTGAATAGTATATTATTATAAGCCTGCCCATATTAATCAGAGGAAGTCTAATGCTCCTAGACAGATAAATGAAATACATTTTCTTAAATACAAAGGAACCTATTTATTAGAAAAGATAGAAATAGCAGAACTCTTTATATATCATGATTTCACTCGTATATAAGAGTCTTTGACAAAGCAAAAGTCATCTTTATTTTGATGTGAAAATCAAGGTACAGGATATTTTATATTGCGTTGGAGTATTCAAAACATTCTCACTAATGTTTTCTGATTGATTGAGACAGGGTCTCACTCTGTTGCCTAGACTGGAATGCAGTGGTACAATCACAGCTCACTGCAGCCTTGTCCCCCAGGGCTCAAGCAGTCCTCCCACATCAGCCTGCAGAGTAGCTGGGACTGCGGGGGCACACCACTACACACAGCTAATTTTTAAATTTTTATTAGAGGTGGGATCTCAGTATGTTATCCAGGCTGGACTTGTACTCCTGACCTCAAATGATCCTCCTGCCTTGGCCTCCCAAAATGCTGGGATTATAGGTGCGAGGCACTGCTTCTGGCCTCTTTTTTAACATCCTAATTTGGAGGACAGAGTTGCCTCTTGTATCCTGTGTGGATATTCTGAAAGAAGTGAAGTGTAAATTCAGTGATGTCATTTGGCTCATACTGAAACACAGAGAATGATCTTTATTAAGCCACAGTTCATCTTCCCAGTTCTAATGGTGAGTGTTTCTTTTGACTGTATGTAGGATCGAGCTACCCATCTTAAATCAAATCTTCAATGATACACTCTTTCCTTGGTGCCTTCCTCTTACCCTGTCTCTGTGAGCAGATGAGCCTCTGTCCCTACATGGTTCATAACACATTCCCGGGCCAACACCATTAGCCATTTGTCAGAATTTTGGGTCTCAGGCACAAAAGAAGATAGTTCCGTTATGGAAGGCTCCACTATGGAAAGGTTCGCATTTGAAACACTTTTAGGATCAATCTGCACCAGTGATTCTTAACTCAGCTTCACATTAAAATTACTTAGATGCTTTTCAAAACTACTGATGCCACCACCTTGGAAAAACTGGGTTTTTGTTGTTGTTGTTTGTTTTTTCTTGAGACAGAGTCTCACTCTGTCACCCAGGCTAGGGTGCAGTGGCACTGCCATAGCTCACTACATCCATGACCTCCTGGGCCCAAGTAGTCCTCCACCCTCAGCATCCCAAGTAGCTGGGACTACAGGCGTGTGCCACCATGCCTTGCTAATTTTATTTTTTGTAAAGACAAGGTCTCACTATGTTGCTCACTCTGGTCTCAAACTTTTAGGCTCAAGTGATCCTCTTGCCTCGGCCTCCCAAAGTGCTGGGATTACAGGCATGAGTCACTGTGTCCAGTTGGAAAACTGTTTTTGCTGGTCTGGGGTGGGGCCCAGATGCCCTTTTCAAAAATTAGTTTCACAGGTGATTTAACATGATCAAGCCTCACCTCCTTCTTTCAGGTGACAGCTGGAGAGGGAAATGGAGAGCCCCTTTCCATAGAAGGAATAGCAAGATGTTTAACATTCATTTGTTTATGTAGCAGGCCTACACACATAGGCCTAAAGTAAAACTGTAACTCAACTTGTGACCTGGGACAAATTAATTAGCTTCTCCAAGTCAGTTTCCTCATCAGTGAAATGGAGGAAATGATGTACCTTCACATAGGGCTGTTATAATATGTAAATAAGAAAATGCCGGCCAGGCGCAATGGCTCATGCCTGTAATCCCAGCACTTCGGGAGGCCGAGGTGGGTGAATCACTTGAGGCCAGGAGTTCAAGATCAGCCTGGCCAACATGGTGAAACCCCATCTCTACTAAAATTACAAAACTAGCCAGGTGTGGTGATGCATGCCTGTAATCCCAGCTACTCAGGAGGCTGAGGCGTGAGAATTACTTGAACCCTGGAGGCAAAGGTTGCAGTGAGCCAAGATCATGCCATTGCACTCCAGCCTGGATGACAGAGCAAGACGCTGTCTCAAAAGGAAAAGGCAATGCAGGTGAGGTGGTCAGTACAATGCTTAGCATATAACACACACTGAGATATGCTTGGTATTGTCATCACTTACTCTTCATTCAAAAGTGTGTATTAAATACTGGGTATTACATATTGTGGTGCACCAACAAGATACAGTTCTTTCCCCTGAAGTTGCTTGTCAAGGAATCAAGGCAAAGCAGAAACAACAGTGGTGCAGTCAGTGCTACAGTTACATTTACTGTCAGAAGGGGTCAAGGAAAGCTTTCCAGAGGAGCAAAGGTGCAGAGCTGAGCCTGCAAAGGGTTTGGAACAGAACAGTTATGCAGGGGTAGTGACAGAAGTGTTATAAGAGAAAAAAAGCAGGAATTCCCTGGGAGAAATAGATCTGATGTTCCCTTTCAACTGCATTTTGATCTCTTTCTCCAAATTATGTCATTGGATACTTGGTTTCATTCATCCCTCGCCCAGAACATTAAAAAGTTGGGCATTGAGGAATTATTATTAACCCATATGAATGCCCACTGTATGGGAGGCACGGTAGCAATGCAGAAGACATATATACCATGCCTACTAAGTTCAGAATGCAGGCAGTACACAGCATGTCATCAAGAACATCTGCAACTTGTGAGCAAATAAAATGATAGTTCTAGACTTTAGGAACACCCTGTAGAGAAGTAGAGGACAAAGTCCCTACTACAAAAAATGTGCACCAGATTGAGGAGGCAAATTTACAATAAATCATATTTTAACAGCTGGACAAGTAGCAAGCCCAGCAAGCCCTGGTGAGGTCCAAAGGACAGGCATGCTGGGAGCCAGGGCAGGAGGAACAGGCTTCATGGAGGAAGCAGACCTTAACCTGGGCCTTGGAGGGAAAGTATCGTTAAATATGTCGGGATTAGGGACGTCACTTTGGGCAGAGCGGCTTCAAGAACAAAGGCTAGAAAGCAGGCATTTGAAAGGTGTTCTGGAGAATTAACAACTCCATTGGCTAGAAATATGAGTTAGAGAGGTGAAAAGTGGAAAAGGGTAGTAGAGAGCTCAGGGCCCAATTAGGGGGTGGTGGTGGTGGTGATGGTGGTGGAGAGGTGGAGTTAATATTTAATTATGTAGAAATGGGGACTCTCTTAAAGGTTTTTCAGCAAGGGAGAGGTGTGTAAAGTGGCTGTGTATTGCAAGATTAATCTGGTTTGGAACATATTAAATTAACGGCAGGGTATCTTGATAGAATTGTGCAGAAACCATTTGCAGTGTATTAGTGGAAGTCGGGAGTGAGGTTAAGGGTATATGTTCTGGATTTGAGAGTCACTGGAATCCAGGATGGAATAGTAAATGAGGGCTGTGAGAGAGAGTAAAGATAGAAAGGCTGTGCTTACAATTTGAGGATGGGAAAAATAACAGGGAGGGCTAGAAGGGAGGAAGAATCTGAGTCAACAAAGACGAAAGGTCTGCTACAGAGGAATGAGAAAAACCAAGCCAATGGTAGACCAGGAGCAAGGTGATTAGAGGATCAAGTGCTGAAGAAACTCTAGGGGCAGAAAGTCTAGGGGAACGATGGATTTAAAAATACATAGTTCAATTTGTATATATAGGCAAGAAAAAATATATAGCTTATTTTGAAAAATAATGGCATCAAAATCCACATTTCTTATCATTACCTTTGATAAACAAAACATACAACAACAGATTCGGGAGGGTGGGAAGTTAAATAAGGGAAGACATTTTCAGAATCAAAGAGTCTTGATGTGTTTATTGGGGTAGAGCCCCTGGGTACAGAAACATTTAGGGATTAGGGAGAAAAAGGGGATGATGTTTTGAAGGAGGCAGGAAGGGAGTAAATGGTGTCAGGAGGTTCAGCTCCTCCCCTGTAATGGGGAACTCTTAAGATCTGGAAAGATTCTGAGATGGATGTGGGAGCTCCAGACAGATGGCTTCCATGTTCCAAGAAAAGTACAGCTTGAAGTACAACGTGATGGTCTTTGACATTTAACAGATGTCATCCATTCTCTGCAGAGTCACTCAGCAGCCTGCCCTGTTGTAGACACCTGCTTAGGTTTGGAACACACTGTCTATACAGGGCATACGAGCAGGATTTTGGTGTGTTTCTTATTTCATTTATTTCTGTTTAACTTGTGGCAGACAAATATAGGTTATCAAAAGAATGGGACAATGAGTAAGCACACACCAAACTAAACAAAATAGAAACATCACAAGTCTTGATTCTTTTTTTTTTTTTCAGTCAAAGAAAGAACTCATTGGTTGATTTAAGTCGCTGGTAAATCAGAAGGTTGAAAATAAATCACCTTCCTTCTGCAGGGTCCTTCCAGATAGTTCAACTCTCTAAATTCAGCTATCAGCAAAGAGAGTATTTCTGATGCTCAAAGAAAAGTGTCTTAAACTCTGATGGTTTAATGTAGTAGGAAAAAAAAAAAATCTTTGCTGAGGCCCAAGCTGAGGTCAAAAACTACCTCTGGTCACCTGGTGCTTTATTTTTATTTATTAAAAGTCTCTGATGAGACTGAAATGAATGTGATTTAGGAATATCACATTCTAAATGACCAGTTTGCCTATTCCGTTATAGAAATGGCACTACGGGAAAATTCATCATCACAGACCATAGCAGAAGGGTTCTTTAGTTAAATCTCTACCTAGTCATCCAGAAAGCCAGTAAGTAAACCAAATAAAAATAGTTCACTGATCTCCGAGTGGCAAGTTTTGCATGCAAAGATCGTGAAACTTGTAACCCTAGCAAGAAATCCAATACTGTTCTCAGACTCTCCTGGGTGTCCAGTGCTGCTGCAGTCCTTGGGAGAGTTTGAAACTGTTTAGAGCTGGCTGGTTATCTTCCGCCAAGCCAGAGTGTGGGAGTGCATTTTGGTATCACCATGTGGAACTGGTCGCTGCTTGATTTTGTTCAGTGTGTTTCCATTTGTGTAGGCTTTTCCCCACTTCAGCATTTTGTTGCTTATCCTTGAGAGCGAAATTGGTTTTTCCTCCGCTAATAATCTGTTTCTTTAAACAAAGAAAAATTTGTTACCTATTGCTTTTTTTTTTTTCCTGGTTTGCCTGAGCAAGTCAGAAGTCACAAGGTCGTTTACTAATCGAAAACCAAGAAAAAGAAAAGCCACATCAGCCGGCACAAGTCTAACTTGTGTGCCTTGAGGCTCATCAGATACGAACCTGGTGACAAGACAGGGTCGCCCACAGTGGCTTCCTAAAGCGCAGATCCAGGCCGGCTCCCGGCGTGGAATCCGACCCGTGTACTTCGTCTCTCCACGTGGCATCATATGCTCCGCTGGCTGTCACCGTGAACTCCAGCACTCGCGGAGCCGACACTGACCTGGCTGCTTCAGAGCTCAGAAGGGGATAGCGTCCCGGTGCCCTCGCCCCACCTGGGCTGCTCCTCGCGGACTGCCCCTCTTCCCAGGCCCTAAGAGGCGCAACCAAGCCTCAGCGACCCCGCTCCAGATCTCCGGGAGCCGGCAGGGGTCGGCCGCGGCGACCGGAAGCTCCGGACCGAGGTGCAGGTTCCGTCTGCTGCTCTTCCAGCTCAGACCCAGCCGCGGCGGTCTGAGCGGCTGCCACGCCGCACCTGCCCGCGAGGGGGCGCGCCCGGCCCAGGCCGCCGCCGGCCGCCGTCGGCCGCCGCGCTCTCTGGCCCCGCCTTCCGCTGTCCCCTGACTGCGCTTACCTGTCTGGGCCTCGGGCCCAGGAGGCGGGGGCCCGTGGGAGCCAAGCCGAGGAAAGGGCGGAGCGGCTCTCTGGGCGCGTCATCGGAGCACCATGGCGGAGCTAGGAGCTGGCGGCGACGGTCACAGGGACGGCGACGGCGCTGTGCGGACCGAAACAGGTGACCGTGCGGTGGGGATAGTGAGGGTCCCATGTGCGAGGGCGAGGGACGGCTAGCCGAGTCGGCAGGCTGGCACCGAAATCACCCGGTGCCGGCGGCCCCCTCCCCGCCCGCGCGGCCGCGGCCAGGAACCGCCGGCCCTATGCGCCGAGCACCCGGGCTCCGAGAGCGCCTTTCCCCGCCCTTAGCCTCCGCGCCACGTCCGCCCCGCTCGGCCCCGGCCCGCCCTCGGGCACTCCACCGCGACTTTCCCGCAGCAGGTGGAGAGGAGCCGGGGGGCGCAGGCTGGGGAGGAAACGGAGAGACCGGTCCGCTGCCCTCCTCGCCGCGGGCTCGGGTCTAATTCAGTGGAATGGGAAATCGTAACCCCCAGACCAAACCAGCGGCCAGAGAGTCGTCGGCAGGTGCGACTGGCAGGAAGGGCAGTTTCTGGGCACCTCCTCCCGCCTTCCCAGGTCGCCTCTGGTGCCGGGGGCTCCTCGACGGGGTCGGTGCGGGGCAGAACCGAGGGTTGAGCGGCGCTCGTCCCCCAACGCGGTGTCCGCAGTGGCGACGACCCTCGTCCGAGGGGACCGAGCTTGGGAAGGCAGGGGCCCAGTGCAGCACGTTGGGGCTTTGCAGGAGCGGGCTTCACGGGATCAGAGATTCGTTGACTTGTTAGAGTTCTCAGACTTTTTTGTTTTTAGTCTGTGCAGGAGCCCTAAGTAGGATCGTTGGCTCTGCAGCCCGAGATTTGGTGGTCAGGCCTCTTGGGGTGAGGATACCCCTCCCCCACAACCTCCAGGGATACCCTTAGGGACGGGGGATCACGTCCCCAAGACCAGCAGCAAGACTTTCCACCTGTACCCGCCTCTCCATAGTATGAAGCCGATTTTTCTCCCTCTTGATTTTTTTTCTCCAGAGTCTGTCTTGCAAATCCGCCCCTCCCCTCCGGTCCCCTCTTCTATTCCTGGCCTGTAAGCTGTTTTCTGTAGCTTCCTACACTTGGGATGGGGGCGGTGAGGCAGTTTCTTACTTTAAAAAGAAATTCAAATCTTAGACTCCCCAATTGCAAGCTGTTTTCCACTTCCATACACTCACAATTGGACGCAGTTGTTTCCTAAATGTAAGAATTACTATTCCCCCACCATCGATTTAAATAATGTATTTATTTTAACGTGAAAGGTCCAGAGAACTCTGAAACAGTATTTGCAAATTATGTATCTGCTATTGCTAGGAAGAGGTTGGGTACCAGAAGTCTAATGACTTAATCCCTTCAACCAAGATACCTGAGGTTAAGACTGACAAAGTGTCTTGAACTTGTTTATTTTTAAGTCATGCTCCTTCCTGTAGGGTGTGTTGTCTTAATGTATTTGCAAGATTGGTAGATCATTATTTTGGTTTGGGGTGGAGAACAGATGCCTTTGTAATTGCTTTGGGGAATTTGATGAGCTGGAATCGCTGAGATGGGGCTCCCCCAAGTGAGGGCCCCAAGAGAGCAGCATCCTTATTTGTAAATATGCGGCATGATTTTGGCGTCTAATCCTGTCGGAGTCACTGCTTGTGAAACAAAATTGTTCTAGCGCGCTGTCAGTCTGTGTTCAAAAACAAACTTTCTAGAATCTGCACATGAACAACTTGTTCAGACATAAGTTAACTATAAACTGTAGCATATTCAGTGCCTGAGCATGTTAATAATAGGCCGTACTTCCAACAATTAATACACAAATCAACCATGTGCCTGTCAGTGTAAAATGTCTTTTATTAAAAAAGGGAGTTAAATTGGCTGCTGTCTCCTTCATAGAAAACATTTCTTCCACACTTTTGCCTAGAAACTTTAATTTCCAAAGGACGCATTTTATATATGGTCTTGAATAATTATACTTTATAATTTCACCGAAAACTTAATTCTGGCCTCAGATCTCTGTCCTATTTTTCTACCCTGAGGTTACTATTAATGTTTTTAGTCTTCAGCAGCATTTGTGTCAGCAGGTGCCAAAGAAAGAAGGAAGGTGTAAATGTATTTTTTTTTTAAATCTAGGTGACAGTATTTTTAGAGAACAAGTGAGATTGTTTGAATTTCAACAACTTAAGTTATTACATATATTTAAAATACATGGCCTATATTTGAATATGAGACTTTAGTACTTTATTCTGGTGAACTTACTTCACATTATACACATCCAAATACTGAAAGTCTCTTTTTTACAAACTCAGAGGTTTGTATGGAAATGGCAGGGGGTGAGGAGGGGAGTGGACAGAGAAACCTGTATTACCGTCAAGAGGTGAAAATTGCCACCTTAAATGGCAACATTTCTTGAGGGATTAATTTTCTTTTTCTTTTTAGATCTCATTATTATGAGGTAGAGCCCACTCTTAAGTAGCTCTTAGTTTTTGTGTCTCTGTGCAAGACTGGCCTAATTTTAGGGCACTTTAGATTAGAATCTCAGGTTATTATAAAAATAATACCTGTAATGTATTCAGAATTATATGCATGTGTGTGTGTGTGTGTGTGTGTGTGTATCAAAGATGGATTGACAATGGTGTGCCAGGTATGAAATGAGACTGTTCTTAAGCATATTGAAAGGTATTATATAAATCCAACATTTAAAAACCGTACTTCTGTGGGTATATATTTATCTTCTACTCAAAGTTGGTCAAATCACATTCCTTGTGGTGAAAACGTTTATTTTTCTTGAGGATGAAAAATTCCTCCAATATAATATTTTTTTTTATCAATAGCCAAAGTTAAGCAAGAGCTGGAAAAAAAAATTGCCTTGGAAACAAGTTTAAGACATCACCACTAGAGGATGTCAAGTACTTTTTCAGGCTTTTCTGAGTAGTCGACTTAAGATGGGTGATTTTCACAAAACTGCCTCGACCCAAGCTTTGTTTATTTAATTTTATGCTCATGTTCAAGAGCTGTGGAAAGCAAGTGTATAGCACTGATTTACCAGTTTGATAGCCTTTTTAAAAAACCTCCTGAACTAAAGGCAAATTTAAAGCTGCTTTTGATTATTTCCTGAGGCTTTGATGCACAAGAGAGTAAGTTAATACCAATGACCTGTCAATTCTGTTGCTATTTTGGGAAGTGAGTCATGACAGATTCTGGAATTGGGCGTTTTTTCCTCTTTAGCAAACTGTGTGGTGAACCTGGCTTCCTTTGTGACTATCCTTTCATGAACTTTTCCAAATCAGAAAGTGATCTTGTAGGTGTCACTTAACTCTAAGGGTCGACATTAAATATCTGCAATTAAAAACTGTAAGATAGGGGCTCAGACTACAATTTGGTATTGATCTTGTCCCATTTGAAAGAGAGGCTCCATTCACTTAGCTAGATAGCTTTTCTCCCATCCTATATGGCCATTACCTTTACATCTTGCTAAGTAGGAGGAAATGTTATTGTTAGACTAGGCATTTGTGCTCAAGAGCATGCATTTATATAATATTGATAGGTGTTTTACACAGTTTAGTCATTTGGAGGAGTTTTTAAAATCTCAGGCCTCATATTGATATAAAAATGAAGTACTGTGGCTTAGATTAAAAATATGTGTACCTTCTGTATATGCAGCATTATGATGGTTAGAAGGATCATTAGAACAAATGATCCTTGAATTTAGCAAGGAAGACAAAATCCACCAACAAACAGTTGCAGGTTATGAGTTCAGTGAAGGAGGAATCACTTCCAGCTATGATCAGCAGAGACTATATACCGGATACAGCACTGAAGTCGATTTTAAAAAGTAATGGAACTGGAGATCATTATGTTATGTAAAATAAGCTGGGCACAGAAAGACAAACATGGTATCCTCTCACTTATTTGTGGGATCTTAAAATCAAAACAATTGAACTCATGGGCAGAGAGAGTGGAAGGATGGTTACCGGAGTGGGGGTGGAAGGTGGCAGGGAGGTGGGGATGGTTAATGGGTTAAAAAAAAAAAAAAAAAGGCCAAGAGCAGTGGCTCATGCCTGTAATCCCAGCACTTAGGGAGGCTGAGGCAGGCAGGTCACATGAGGCCAGGAGTTCGAGACCAGCCTGACCCCATCTACTAAAAATTAGAAAACTAGCCTGGTGTGGTGGCACGTGCCTATAGTCCCAGCTCTTTGGGAGGCTGAGGCAGAAGAATCACTTTAACCTGGGAGGTGGAGATTGTAGTGAGCCAAGATTGCACCACTGCACTCAAGCCTGGACAACAGAACAAGACCATGTCTCAAAAAACAAAAAAAAATAAGATCTATTTGATAGCACAGCAGGGCGATTATAGTCAATAACTTAATTGTATATTTTTAAATAACTAAAAGTGTAATTGGATTGTTTGTAACACAAAGGATAAATGCTTAGGGGATAGATACTCCATTCTCCATGATGTAATTATTTCACATTGCATGCCTGTATCAACATTTTATACACCTAAATATATATACCTACTAGGTACCCACAAAAATAAAAATTTTTAAATAATTTTTAAAATAAAAAAATAAACTTTTAAAAGTGGGTAAGTGGGTTATAAAATTGGATGGAGGAAAGGGAGAAAAACAAAGGTGCAGATGAGGAAAAGAGCAAAGTTTTGGTCATATTGACACGTGTAAAGCTCAGAGGAAAGTCTTGGACCAGTTAGGAATGATTGTTCATTGAAGTCAAATTGTGGAAGGTCTGAAGGCCAAACTGAAAGGCTAGTACATTTTTCTGGGATGAGGGGGGGGAGTGTTGAGGAGTCTTGATAATAAAGGATATTGATTAAAGCATGAATAATCAGGTAGTCTGTGCCCATGAATCTTGAATCTCAACTGCAAGTTCTAACAAGAGCTCACCTGTGCCTTTAGCTAATGAAAGCAAAATTCCTCCCTCTGGGAACGTCATTCTCTTCTGTTTTTTGTTTTTTTTTTTTTAATGCTGCTTTGGGAAGGGTGCACCTATAGTGATGAGCATGCATAAGGAACATCTTCCTAGCCAAATTAGCTAAATCTCTGGAGTGCTAGGTCTA